AATCTCTGATGTGCTGACAGTTATTTCCATAAACTGCGGAAAGCTAAAATTTCCAAGTAAACCTACCCCATCTAAATGAGTATTACAGATAGACACACACTCGCTGGTGATACCAAAGAAAAGCAATAGACATTGTTTGTTTAATCAGAGTAGAACGTTTGATGTATCATAAACTAAATAGAAAATCTTAATATTTTTCTTTACAAAGTATTCCATTTTGGATATCCTTGCGTTAACTCAACAATTAACTGTCGGGTGGTGCAGTGGATAGAGCACTCGCCTTTCACCAAGGCGACCGGGGTTCGATTCCCCGATCGGACGTGAAAAGGTATAGGGTCACCTGCCCGACCATGTGGGTTTTCCCCGGGTAATCCGGTTTCCTCCCACATTAAGACCCTATACGCGCGCTTCAATCCGGGCCAACAAGAGTGATTCATATAATTTGAAATAATTAGGTTCATTATTGTTGTAAAATAAATAAAGTTTATGATTTTGAGTGATTTGTTTGTTCGTTCTTTGTTGTTTACGTCGTCGCACCGGCTTAGGAGGTCATATGTGAAGACAGGTACCCATGAAGACATGTATCGAGAAACCACCTAAAGCCTAAAGGGAAGAGTGGGTAAACGAGAAGGAGAAAGACAGATCCCACGTATGGCAATGGTGGCAGCAGATCCATTTTGTTTTCTTCAATTTCCCCGTTTTCTTCCAATTTCCTCTTCGTAGAAGATACGGAAGAAAAACACCGGAACCGTTTCTTTCAGGTCCAATTGTTTTGATTTTATTACTAATTTAATTTTAATTTTTCGGACCATGTAAAATGTAAAATTATAGAATAAAATATGAAAAAATAAAATTAAAAATATCGATCGATCGGATCTAGAAGCTACGGTTCCCACAGGTCGTCCATAGGTATTACGGCATATAGTGGGATAAAGCACAGGGACCTTATAATTTGTTACAGCTATTTTTAGACCTAAGTTAAGGTGTTCAGAGTAATTTTGCATGTTTTAGGGGTTTAGATCGACTTTCGGTAAAAATGACACCCTCAATGATCATTCAACATGCAAAATTACTCTGAACACCTTAATTTAGGTCCAAATATAGCTGTAACAATGTCTCATATCCCTGTGGGATAAAGCAAGTCTATTATTTCCCCAAACCTGCACAGGGAAAATTCTGTGGGAGTGACATAGATAACCTGATAGTATAAAGATGAATTCATAGTATTTCATACATTCTATCACCCTCGATATCCAGGGGTTACGCTCACGTTCGCTCTCTGCACCCCTGGAATAGGCAATGGCAAAATTGTGTAATGTTCACATGTAATGTTTCTCAAATCGTCTTAAATTAATTTAGTCGTTTACGATTGGTCACATATAATATATTAAATTAAGTCTACTCAACCGACTGATTCATATTACAGTAGTACAGCGCTTTCTTGATTGTAGATGTAAATATAGCTGTAAATTTCAGCTGTAAACAACAGCACGCGGATGTCTGAGTTCAGTCCAGCGAGATTTAAAACAAGAATTTGGATATCCTCAACACCGTCAACGACTGAAATGCTATGGTTTCCAACACGCTTCGACTTGTTCGAATTCCGGCCTATAGCCTTCTGGTTTTTCTACTTTCGGTTTTGCACGACAGCTAATATACCAATGTCCAACTTAAAAAAACTAAACATCATCTTATTACTTATCCTCTAAAACTTTTTTCACAAACGCTGCTCAAATTTAAAGATGATGATTAATCCTGCTATGTTCTGTAAAATTGTAGAAATCTATGCAATTGTAAAAAGGATTATATCGGTGCAAAATTGTGCGTATTCCATTTGTTTTGTGTCTTAGCTACTTCCGTTATGGCAAAAGCAAATCCTTTATTAACAGGCCGGGTTACAATTAAATCTGCTACATAAGAAAGACAACTCGATTAGCACTGTTTTGACGTCAGGTTGATTATCAATGTTTTTTTCCCCGATATTGCACGTACATATGATAATGGCTGCCTTCTAAGTTCGAGCTAGAGGTATAGCTTTAACTCAATCGGTAGCGCGGTGGACTGAAGCTGGGATTCCTGGGTTCGATCCCTTGTGTAAGCATACTACTATATCTTTCCTATATATGAGTCTGTCAGTTTTTGTTGAATGATAAATTGTTTTCATCACCCTTCCTTCGAATTTCGACAAATAAATAAATAGAATTGTTTAAAAGGCAAAACAAATAAAAAAAAAAAAAAAAAAGACGCTGCCATCTGTATCCCCCGCTCGCAACTTGCAAACGTCATAAAAACATGAAGCGTAAAATATAGGTTAAAATCAGCATCAGCAATACACATGAAAATTTAATCAACATAGCAAAATTAATTGTAGTAGGGAAGATAAAGATGAGAACAATTTAACAATCAATCAATCAATCATTTTATTTAAGTGTCACATGTTAATACATATAACATAAAACTATATTTACGTCCAGCCATCAGTGACTTATGAGACCCTTTAAATTTCAATCTTTAAAATCACTTCAATAGTCCATACCTAATAAATTATAAAATATTACACAAAAAGAAAAGAAAAATTAAGAACATTTCCTAAATTATAGAATATATATCTACTAAGTAAAAGATGCTGTCAATAATTATAATTAGAAAAATCCTTATATACAATTTAAAAACATCCTCCTTCTGCGTAACATAAAATATACAGTCTTTCCTAATAAAAATTGGATATTTGGATTGTCCCCATTAATAATTAAAGTTTTTCATTACTATCACAATCTTTAAAAGAATCACAAGAGTTCTCCATCTGATAAAATAGACTAAGTCTTTGGTCACTATACAAAGGACAGTCGCATAAAAAATGAACTCCATTAAGTTAGTGCAGAAAAAAACAAAACCGCTCATGTAAAGAAGTCGGGGTCTATACCATTATCGACCAGTCTCTATCCTTAACGGAGCACTACCACATCTGAGCTTGGTTAGAGCACCACGGTAAGGTCCAGGCATAGTGTTCTGGTTTTAAATCATTCTTGTATTCCTGTATATCCACAATTTGTTTCCATTTACATGGCCACGATCGTCCCAAAGTTGGCCGAACCAGTCACTTTCGTCCTTCTGTCTTACGTTAGTTTTAATGACATTTAAAGTGTGGGCAGTGGGTTTGACTCCAGATTCCAAAATGTTACGTAGATTATACATGTACTTTTCACTCAGCCGAAGTGCTCGCGCGTCCCAAGAATTATCCTAAACCATGTGCATCGACGGACGAATGGACGGGACGACGGGCGCACGGACGCACCACATTTCTATATTCCCCGCCAACCAATCTGATTAAAATCATATCCTCAATCAGATTGCCCGCCAACTCGTTGAGAAGCGGATAAATAACACATTTTTTTTCGGGGTGGCACTATTTACCCAAAAACACCCCAAAACACCCCCAAAACACACAAAAAACACTGCTACCTGACATTGGGGATATGTACATGTATGTAACGTAGTGATAGTATGGTGACGCGGGTATTACAGTATCAACTTTATTTGAGTTACGTATTCACCCTGCAAACAAGTTTACCGTTGGCTATTTCACCATCCCCGATGACAGAAGTTTGATCTATATCTATAAACTAGTATTTTTCTCACCCTTTCCACATTATTTCATACAGAGAATGTAAAGATAAAGGAGAGAGGAAGGGATAAAATCTATTTCGAGACTGATGTCGTATTTACCCAAAAAGACCCCAAAACACCAAAAAAAACATTAATAAGGAATTGTAATTGTATTGCAAAGCATTCAAAATTAAAGAAGCCGAAACAATAAAAAGTATTACAGGAAAAGACAGCAACGTTTTCAACTTAAACTATTCATGAAATTCATATTCAATCTATTTTCCTTTCATTTTCCTTTCTATTTTATATATCAGTTATTAAGTACATAACATATGTTAAACATTTTGTATATTGTATTGTTGGGAGAGAGCCTAGTAAGTTCAGAGACGTATATATTATATGTAATATACGTCTCTGGCGAGTTGTAAGAACTTATAAGAGTTGTAACAAATTGTTATAACGTGAAAATAAATGAGATTGATAATTTTTTCCATATATAAGTCTCTGATCAATCTTATGAAGGGTAGATGAGTAGGTTGTCATTTACCAATATAGAAATAAACTGAATAAATAAAAGGAATTATGTTACGCTACTCATGCATCAATCCAAAAGAAAAAGACATGAAGAGATTTTGCCTAATTCCGCGTTCCAATTTTAATGGACTCCCAGAGATACACATCTTCAATTAATAACCCTGATGTTGTGAAACTAATTAGGAAATAACAGAAATCTGTTATTTGGAGTACGGCTTTATTCTGGGCTCGGGCAGATATCCCGGGTCAGTGCCCCGGGCAGTAACAATCCAAGTTCTTGGAGGTATACTGATCAGGTGTATACTGGTACCTAATCTAAATCACAGTTACAGGTAAATATATATATTGGTTATGTAATGAAGACGAAAGTGGAGATGAATTTTGAATCGAATTGGCAAATCGGGGATTTTTCTAAAAAACAATGCTTATAGTCTATACTACTACATAAGAATAAATGTTGAAATAATTTTAACATACAATGTACGTTATAAAATGGATAAGCAATAAGTGGGAAAGCTTTAAATATTACTAAATATCAAACGAGTAATTTAATCTTATTATTTGTTATTATACTAATTCCACGGACTTCGATAATTAATATATAACTAATCTAATTCCGTGCTAATACAGGCCGCGTTCATTTATCAAAGCTTTGGTCGCGGTTAGTATCGACATTTTCTTCTGCTTCTGTAACCCGTGACACAACTCATGTATAAGTACATTTAACAACTGAATTTGATCTAAAATAATACGACTGTCGTTTAGTCATTTTTGCACGTTAAAATTAAAACTGATTAGAGACATCGAAAATCCGGATCGAAATTTACATGCGTTTCTAAATTTACATAGAACATGTTGTCGCTGATACATGCACTATGCAATGACCCGTTGCAAGCCTTTTTGGTATCTTTCGAACGAACATTTATGCCAAATATATTTACAACGCTGTGGTTTATGTTATAATAAGTGATATGTCAAATTTTATTTCTAAAAACGGAAAACAACATGTTTCCGATTGCACAAAATCGAAAGCGAAAGTAGGACAAACCGAAGATCAAGAATTCCCATAAGTCGAAGCGTGCCGGCGACCATTCCTGTCGTCGATGTGTTGGCTGGGGCCTGTCGTCACCATCTAACCTTTCTGTTGTTACTTTACAACTGTCTGAACGGCGATATCGTATAAAACGACATACAGATACTTCTGTCTGTTACAAGAATCATTGACGTAATATGCATCGGAGAGGTGCAAGTAAGGGGCCTAGTGGCAGTGCTGTCGTCACAGCCAGAGGTACGTGGATACTAATGATGTGTCATTGTGATTGCAAATCACGTGCTGAAATACTACATTTGTATACACTTTATATGAAAGACTGTAGTCGCAATATTAAAAAGGTTACTGATTCGGGTTTTAATTTTTTTAACATTTTAAATGTTAACTTTATTTATTTCACAACAATTATGAAACAAGTTAATTCATTTTATATTAATAATTCTTGTTGGCTCCGATTTTAGCATGCAGGCGTCTTAAAGTGGGAGGGAGGGAACCCAAATGGTCGGGCAGGTGACCCCATACCTTTTCACATTCAATCGGGGAATCGAACCCTGGTTGCCTTGCATTTTGATACATGATAATCATATGTTATTGAGAACATTCATGTGTAGCGGAATTGGACTTGTACATGATAATCATGTTATTGAGAACATTCATGTGTAGCGGAACTGGACTGGGTCCATACATTGTTCTAACATTGGTGCATGTGGCCAACCCTTGTTCAATTGTAAGTATTGGGTATACACTTGGCAATGGAACCTATAGGTTGTAAACTGATGTTTTCATGGGCAAAGTCTTGGTAGGGCGTCCTTCTAGAGTTTGGGCGGTCCCAGGTTCTAATCCTTGTCTGGCCGTGTATTTCTCTCTCTTCAGGCTGTTACACACGTAAGTCCCAAGTCTGCCACTCTACCGCAGATCAAGCTAAAGGGAAATTCACTTTAGCGCAAAGCTAGACGGCAGCAGTAATACTATGTTCAATTAGATTTAACTATCACTCCCCTCCAACCTTTTTAATGTGTTCACCCTCGAACACCACAACAACTAAGGTTCTTGATCCCTATCACTGCAGAGAGGGCCACAAATGTAAAGGATGCATTGTAAATTATCTCAAAGTTGCCTTACGAGCTTCATCTAGAGGGAATTTCCGTTAAGCTCAGTGGATGAACAGAATAGAAAGTCGGGGACCGCTGGCTTAATCCCCAGGAAACACATATATGATTATAATTATTTCCTTCCTTTTATAAAGTCATGCTATTCACCCTCCCCTTTCAAGGTAAGAGAGAATCCTCGGTGGGGAGCAAAATACCCTGTGTTGTAGTTGTCTTCATGGGAGAAGACTTGGAACAGTGGGTACGTGGGAAGCGTAAACTCAAAACAAGTGCATTGTCCGTAGTGTCAAAGTGGCCTTACACCTTGGGGGAATTTTCCTTTAGTTCAGCGGTATAGCATCTGATTAGAAAGTCTAGGATAGCAGGTTTGTGCCACAGCAAATGTGCATATTCTTTTTAGTGCCGGTAAATGAGTTAAAACTTTCAGATAGAAAATATTTAGTAGAGTAAAATTACATACAGAATTATGGGTTTTTACCTTGTATGTTGACCAAATTATTTAAGGTTGAAAAATGTTGTTTAACAGTGATTAAGCTAACCGCTTTTTGAACACCTGGACCTAGATAGCTCAATTGGTTAGAGTGTCTGTCTAGAGTTTAGTGGTCCTGGGTTCGAATCCCAATTCATTCTCTCTTTCCTGTTACACTATTAGTGAACCAGAGGTCCTAGTGAGGACCTCTAGCGAAGGCATTGGAAAAATAATGACCTTTTACAGATGTAAAATATATTTGAAAAAAATGTACTATAAATGTATGAAAAATATGCAAATGATGTCAAAGTAGATCATTTTAACCAATCTTAATTCATCCTGTTTTGGAAGTTGCAATCATAAAAAAACCATGATATAGGGGTCAGAATTTTCAATTTTCTGAAAAAAGTCTGGGCAATAGACCCTTGTACCATATTGAGATAGCACCTGTAAAAAACTGTAGATTATTTTTTGAGTTATTGAGAGAAAGCAAGTTTACAAGGAGTCTAAATGAAATTGGGAAGGCAACCACCCCGGAGAATAAAGTTGAAAAAATATTAAATATTTTTTAAATTTTAAACAATCACCCACAGTTTCCAGTTATGTCATTGAAAGGAAGCCATGTAGGAGACACAGGCTGTCGTAGATTGAATATAAATGTTAAAAACTAATGATGACACAAATCTCTCGGACTATACGTGTTTGGTTTGCCTATGGTTTGTCACTGTTAGGTCTAAATTAAAATACTTCTGTTTCCTCTTACTCTTACCCTGCCAACTGGTGACGATGGTCTACCCTTATTCCATTTTGGAAATAAAAATAAAATTTAAAGCTTGATTATACAGGATTATGGTTCATGAGTTATCATAGAAACTGTGAATTCCCTGACCCATTGGCTCTAGGTATTGTGACATGTTTCTACTCTATTGGCCCTAATGACCTCTTATATGTTGATGGGCTGTTAAGAATATACTATTAATATTAATAATTGTTTCTACTCCTTTACCATATTTTGTTTTCAGTGTATCACTGTGGGCAATATGCCAGACCAGACTTTCTGGTAATACTTGTTTTTACAAAACATTAGATATATACATGTATAAGCTCCTGCAGGGTATCCAATGGTGCAGATTTCTACAGAAAACTATGGTATATATATATATTACTAGGCCTACACATTCTGCTAAGAAACTTACATACTCAAGTAATGATTTAGTTAATAGCTGTCCATTATAGCTATTAAACTATTTTCTGTCAATGCTGAAACCCCGAACAGGAAATGACGGACATTTGCTTTACCTGTGGTCAAATTCTTTATTTTAAGACAATGAATTGAAATCTTTTGAATTGAAAACCCACAGGCCAATCAGCCGAACGTCCGGTTGATGACACTGCTTGGAGTGAGGATGACATGGATGAGGTCAGCCCTAAGCGTGAGGCCAAGCGTCAAAGGGGTAGGAGACAAAATGAATGGTTCATGGAATGGCCTGTAGTACTTGGTGTACTTGTACTGGTGGTGGTGGTGCTGTCGGTGCTGGGGTATTTTGTGTAAGTAAATGTTACTTCATTAATTATAATATTCATGAGTTTGCATTAAACAGTATAGGGCTCTGTCACACACCTGCATCATGATTCTATATTTGATAGGTAAATGTTTCTGTGCAGTAATCGATTTAATGTTGGTTTTTGTATCAGTAGCGAAATGTTTACTTGTACTTTTTTCCCACATATGTTCTAACTTTCAAAATTTTTGTAGAAAGCTTACAACCCTCGCAATTGAAAGAAATGTATGCCTTCCTTATCACACTGACATTGTGCCAAGGTCAACAGACCTGAAATTTGTGCGGATAAGTCCCATGAAATTGACCATTTTAGCAAAATCCCAGAAAATTAGGTACCTAAAAGATAAATACTTCAATTTTATTTTTTTTTTACTTATTTTTATTTATTTTTTAATAATAAAATTCAAATAAGATAAAAACTGGAATTGTAAAAATAAGATTTTTTTTATTTAATTTTCAAACAGTTACAAACAAAGTTAGAAAATAATGGAAAATTAGTCTTTTTTTTAATAATGTAAATACTGGTAATCCCTAATGTAGAAAATATATCTTAGATCATATCCAGCATCTGAAGCAGGTGTAAAAGATGTGCATTGATTAGGTTGCCTTACAAGCGTCAGCTGTAGGGAATTTCCCTTTAGCTCGGCTGTAGAGCATCGGGCTGGAGAGCCAAGGGTCGCGGGTTCAACCTTAGCGACGGCACTATTATTATCACTATTCCTCGTCCTATTACACATGTATTGAGATACATTTAATACACCAATAAAGAAACTCTAATTGGTGCAGCTCTCGCACTTTTTAGCTGATCTGGCCCGAAGGGCCCAGAGAGCTTATGCCTTGGCACAGCTTCAATCTGGCATCAACTTTTTTTTGTAAAACAGTTATTTAGCTGATCAGTACTTCAAACAATATTTGTTAATATCTGACCTATGACATCCAAAGGAGTGCCATGCTTCTGGCATGTAGCAGGTAAGGATGAAGGGCTTTCAAAATAGTTCAAACAAATGATTATAACTATCTTTCAAGGTCACAGGGGTCATATTAGTTCATATTTAAAAACATACATTCTGGATTAACGATAGACCTACGGTTATGTTATTTGACAAATCACATGCTTAAGTGAAGTATGTGCTTCTATCTATATATATATATATGAATGACCATGAAATGCTTTCAGTTTAACTTATGACATTTTCCTAACTTATGTCTCATACTGTATTGTGCACTTATTGTATGTTTCAGATAAAAAGGACAGAACCAATCACAACATGCGCCAGTGTCACCAGTAATTATATATTAAGTTGGTACTAACTTATTTGGCCGACTAGTTTCCACCTCTATGTGCAAGGATTCATTAGGACACTTTTCAACAACAATTTTTCCCCTGAAAAACTTTTTCTAGAAATGAAGCCTCCGACATAGAGGTGAAACTAGTCGGACAAATAAATTAGTACCAACTTACCGGTGACACTGGAGTATGTTGTGATTGGTTCATCCCCTTTTTGTATTTAATTATTCATCGATTAATCCATATCCAAGTGAATCGACCCAATGAACAATCCACTGAATTTTGGATTGATGCTGGGTCTACTATCCTGTTAAATATTGTATGTTTCAGTGCTAACCTTACTTCCCGATTCCAAGAATTGGAAAGAAAAGTATCTTTTGACAAGAATAGAATAGAAGAATTGGAAAGAAAAATATTAATTGACAAAGATATTGATCAGTTGCGAGATGATATTAACACATTGGAAACCAGGAGTTCAGATTTGAAATCTGTTGTTGAAAAAATGGATGAAACCATTCCCAAGTTAGTGGCTGATGTTGAAAAATTAGATAATACATTTGGAATACTGAAACCAAAAGTTGATGAAGTAGATGAAACAGTTGTCGAATTGAAACCAAAAGTTGAAAAAATGGACGAAACTGTAGTAACATTGGAACCAAAAATTAAAACATTAGATGAAATTGCAACAAAATTGGAACCAAAAGTTGGAAAACTAGATGAAACTGTAGACATATTGAAACCAAATGTTGAAAATTTGGATGAAATTGTTGCCAAATTGAAACCAAAAGTTGAGAAAATGGACGAAATTGTAGTAACATTGGAACCAAAAATTAAAATGCTAGATGAAGTTGCAGCAAAATTGGAACCAAAAGTTGGAAAACTAGATAAAACTGTAGTCACATTAGAACCAATAGTTGAGAGAATGGATAAGGCTGTAGCCAAATTGGAACCAAGTGTTGAAAATTTGGATGAAAGTGTTGCCGAATTGAAACCAAAAGTTGTGAATATGGACGAAATTGTAGTAACATTGGAACCAAAAATTAAAATGGTAGATGAAGTTGCAACAAAATTGGAACCAAAAGTTAGAAAAATAGATGAAACTGTAGTCAAGTTGGACCCAAAAATTGAGGAAATGGATAAAGCTATAGACAAATTGGAACCAACTGTTGGAAAATTAGATAAAACTGTCCTCGTTATGGAACCAAAAGTTAATGATTTAAAAAAAACTGTTGACCAATTGGATGGAAGAGTTCAAGATTTGGGCAGCAAAGTATCCGGTACAGAGAGTAAGTATAATGGGTATACAGGTGTTACTAAATATAAATATTTCATGTTTTGTACTGTGGTGAATTTGCCTTTTGTTCGAAAGCAAAAATTTGATAATATAAAACTATGATTATGATTTGGCAGTTGGAATCTATTAAAACATGTTTTCTTGAACATAGTAATATGTACCGACTGATTTTTAGCTCACCTGGTCCAAAGGACCGGTGAGCTTATGCCATGGCCCACATACGTCGTCCATCGTCCGTCAACTTTTCCTAAAAATCACTACTAGTCATGAACGACTAGCAGATTTTGACCAAATTTGGTCAGAAGCATCCTTGGGGGAAGGGGAACAAATTTTGTATAATGGTGGGTCTGGCCCCCCTGGGGGCTGAGGGGTGGGCCCAATAGGGGAAACACAGCAAATTCTTTAAAATCCTTCTTTTTCTGTAGGAATGAAAGGATTTGTTCCATATTTAGTCCGAAGCATCTTTGTGGGAAGGGGAACCAATTTTGTATAAACGGTGGGTCTGCAGGCCCCCTGGGGGGCTGAGGGGTTGGGCCCAATAGGGGAAACAGCAAATTCTTTAAAATCCTTCTTCTTCTGTAGGAATGAAAGGATTTGTTCCATATTTGGTCTGAAGCATCCTTAGGGGAAGGGGAACACATTTTGTATAAACCATGGGTCTGGCCCCCCTGGGGCCTGAGGGGAGGGGCCCAATAGGAGAAACATAGCAAATTATTCTTTAAAATCTTTCTTCTTCTATAGGAATGAAAGGATTTGGTCCATATTTGGTGTGGAGCATCCTTGGGTAAAGGGGAACCAATTTTGTATAAACAGTGGATGTGGCCCTCCTGTGACCTGAGGGGCAGGGCCCAATAGGGGAAATAGAGGTAAAAATCTTTATTATCCTTCTTCTACCATAGGGATTAAGGGATTTTATCCTAATTTAGTCTCGAGCATCCTTGGGCAAAAGGGACTCAATTTCCTATAAACAGCAAGTGTGGCCCCCTTGGGGCAGAAGGGAGGGGCCCAATAGGTGAAACATAGCAAATTCTTCAAAATACTTCTACTTTTGTAGGAATGACAGGATTTTGTCCAAATTTGGAATGAAGCATCCTTGGGTGAAAAGGGAATCAATTTTGTATAAATGGTGTGTTTGACTCCCCTGGAGGCAGAGAGGCGGGGCCCAATAGGGGAAATAGAGGTAAAACCTTTTAAATCATTCTTCTACCATCAGGATTAAGGGATTTTATCCTTATTTAGTCTGGAGCATCCTTGGGCCAAGGGGACTCAATTTTGTATAATTGGTGAGTATGACCCCCCTAAGGGCTCAGCGTTTGAAGTTTGTTCTCGCTATATCTCAATTACTGGATGGATCTTTCAGAAATTTTATATGTACTTACAGCACCTGCCATGGAGTGCTATATCTTTACTTCATACCAATTATTTTAAAACATATTCAGGTGAGTGATATAGGCCCTCTGGGCCTCTTGTATGTTATTAGGACCCAGCATAGTAATATGTACCGACTAGTTTTATGTTATTAGGCCCGGGCCCAGCATAGTAATATGTACCGACTAGTTTTATGTTATTAGGACCCAGCATAGTAATATGTACCGACTAGTTTTATGTTATTAGGGCCCAGCATAGTAATATGTACTGACTAGTTTTATGTTATTAGGGCCCAGCATAGTAATATGTACCGACTAGTTTTATGTCATTAGGGCCCAGGATAGTAATATGTACCGACTAGTTTTATGTTATTAGGGCCCAGTATAGTAATATGTACTGACTAGTTTTATGTTATTAGGGCCCCGCATAGTAATATGTACCGACTGATTTTATGTTATTAGGGCCCAGAATAGTAATATGTACCGACTAGTTTTATGTAATTAGGGCCCAGCATAGTAATATGTACTGACTGATTTTATGTTATTAGGGCCCAGAATAGTAATATGTACCGACTAGTTTTATGTAATTAGGGCCCAGCATAGTAATATGTACTGACTAGTTGTATGTTATTAGGGCCCAGCATAGTAATATGTACAGACTGATTTTATGTTATTAGGGCCCAGAATAGTAATATGTACCGACTAGTTTTATGTCATTAGGGCCCAGGATATTAATATGTACCGACTAGTTTTATGTTATTAGTGCCCAGCATAGTAATATGTACCGACTGGTTTTATGTTATTAGGGCCCAGCATAGTAATATGTACTGACTAGTTGTATGTTATTAGGGCCCAGCATAGTAATATGTAAAGACTAGTTTTATGTTATTAGGACCCAGCATAGTAATATGTGCCGACTAGTTTTATGTTATTAGGGCCCAGCATAGTAATATGTACCGACTGATTTTATGTTATTAACGTCAAAATGTGTTGTAGCAATCAAGGTGTCTGTCTGTCTGTCTGTCTCTCTCTCTCTCTCTCTCTCTCTCTCTCTCTCTCTCTCTCTCTCTCTATCTGTCAGTGGGTCGGTCTGTCCGAATGGCCAATCTTTCATTTCTTCAAACAATCAGGATGAAGTCCCAGTTGACCTATTGCAATTGCTTTTTATCTGTACAATTCACATTTTTGACTTCTTCTCCAAAACCACTGAACATATTTCAATAAAACTGTGCAGGAAGGTTGAATGTTAAAAGGCCAACCAGTAGTGCAAATTATATGGTTCTAACCCAACCCCAACAGGGGCCTGAGGGGCAGGGCCAAAAGGATTCAAATTTATGGTACGAAACTTTAGACCCTGACTTAACCCCAGGGCCTGAGAGGTAGGGTCAAATGTGGTCAAATTTGGCCAAATTTCAACAAATTTTTCTTCAGACCCAAATACAAATGTACGCTGAAATTATATACTCGTCATGGATGGAAAGGTTCAAATGTGCTTTATATTCTGCCCTGGGGCGTGGGTTAAAATTTCCCATTGTTTATACAGAAAAATAATACTTTTGGGCATATTTTGCTTATGTTCTGTGACATATTATTATACACCCCGCAACGAAGTAAGGTGGGGGGTATAGGTACTGGAATCCGTCCGTCTGTCGACAAAAAATTGTACCTCCTATTCCTCCTAGGTTTATGCGTGGATTGACTTTAAATGAACTTGTGTCTCCCTGAACGTCATTATGTTCCTTCAATATTTACCAGAGTTATGGCCCTTGACTTCTGTAAACAGGACATTATGTTACTGAAATGGCTAATTATCTTGAAACGGAGGTGTTATGTATGCACATATACATTGTAATGTTGTAGGAATTAATGAAAGCTACTCTTCAGACAAACTTCTGAGGTCATGGGGTCAAAGGTCAATAATTAAAGGTCATGAATGAATAACGTTACTGAAATGGCTAAATATTTTGGAAACAGAGGTATTATGTATGCACATATACATCGGAATATTGTAGGGATTAATGAAAGTTACTTCACTGACAACTTCCGAGGTCTTGGGGTCAAAGGTCAAAGGTTAAATTACTGAAATGGCTAAATATCTCAGAAACGGTAGGTATTTTGTGTACACATATATATACATTAAAACATTGAAGGCATTAATGATAACTATCCTACTGACAGCTGCCATGATCGTGGGGTCAGAGGTCAAAGGTCACGAATGATTTAGGTTACTGAAATGGCTAATTATTTCAGAAACAATAAGTTTTTTGTATACACATATACATGTATACATTAGAGTATCGTAACAAATTATGTAGGCTATATTGTGATGATCTTCCAAGGTCATGAGGTCGTAGCTGTTTATTTTAGAATGCGGGGATATTAGTTAGCCCATAGGCGACAGTTCTAGTTTAAACTTGGTTGGAGTTATCATCATTTGATTGCAGTTTGATGGTATATGAAAATAAACATGACTTGATCCCAGTCTAGGACCTGAGGGTTGGGCCAAAAGGGGTCAAATTGACTAAAAGTTTCGCAATCATCTTCTTCATGCCAATATTTTGCGGGAATCAAACACTCTTCATTTATGGAATAGTCCAAAGGTGCTACATTAAAACTGTGCATTTGGTTGACCCCGGGTCAGCATGTCACCCCTTGAGGATAGAGTTTATATCTAGGGAATTAACACTTCTGGGGGTATTTTGCTTATTTTTAGTGGGATATAATTCAAACTTCATGAGAATTATTATTATGTGCAGTTTAATGAAATGAAGACTTAGATCCTGACTAACCCTTAGGGCAGAAAGGGTCAAATTGGTCAAAATTTAAACAATCTTTTTCCTTAGACCCAAATATTCTGGAATCAAATACTAATCATGGATGGAAAGATCCTAAAGTGCTTAGTCAGAAAGTGAATTTCACTACCCACTGGTCCCAAATTCCTCTCCAGGGAGGGGGTAGATTTTACTTCCGTGTTTTTGTATGAGCAAAGTGCTTACTAGGGGAACAATTGATAATTAACAGGTTTTATTTGTGGGGAACAATTGATCATTAACTATCTTTTTAAGGGAACAATTGATCATTAACTATCTTTTTAAGGGAACAATTGATCATTAACTGTATCTATTTGAGGAGAATAATTGATCATTAACTGTATCTTTTTGAGGGGAACAATTGGTCATTTAATGTATGTATTTGAGAACAATTGATTGGTCATTTACTATATCTATTTGAGAACAATTTGTCATTTACTGTATCTATTTGAGAACAATTGGTCATTTAATGTATCTATTTGAGAACAATTGGTCATTTACTGTATCTTTTTGAGAACAATTGGTCATTTACTGTATCTTTTTGAGAACAATTGGTCATTTACTGTATCTATTTGAGGGGAACAATTGATCATTAACAGGTTTTATTTGTGGTGAACAATTGATCATTAACTATCTTTTTAAGGGAACAATTGATCATTTACTGTATCTATTTAAGAATAATTGGTCATTTACTGTATCTATTTGAGAACAATAAGTCATTTACTGTATCTATTTGAGAACAATTGGTCATTTACTGTATCTATTTGAGAACAATTGGTCATTTACTGTATCTATTTGAGAACAATTGGTCATTTACTGTATCTATTTGAGAACAATTGGTCATTTACTGTATCTATTTGAGAACAATTGGTCATTTACTGTATCTATTTGAGAACAATTGGTCATTTACTGTATCTATTTGAGAACAATTGGTCATTTACTGTATCTATTTGAGAACAATTGGTCATTAACTGTATCTATTTGAGAACAATTGGTCATTAACTGTATCTATTTGAGAACAATTGGTTATTTACTGTATCTATTTGACGGGAACAATTGATCATTAACTGTATCTATTTGAGAACAATTGATCATTAACTGTATTTATTTGAGGAGAACAATTGATCATTAACTGTATCTGTTTGAGGAGAACAATTGATCATTAACTGTATCTATTTGAGGAGAACAATTGATCATTAACTGTATCTATTTGAGGAGAACAATTGATCATTAACTGTATCTATTATAGGAGAACAATTGATCATTAACTGTATCTATTATAGGGAACAGTTGATCATTAACTGTATCTATTTGAGGAGAACAATTGATCATTAACTGTATCTATTTGAGGAGAACAATTGATCATTAAAACTGTTGTTGTTGTTTATTGCAGAACTGAGAGAAAATGTTACAGAGATTCGTGATCTCTTGGATAACCTTGGAAATTATTCTTGGAAAAAACTGCCAGAGAGTCTAAACAGGTTAGACAACCTGGAGCTAACCTCACGCTCTCAATATTCCTACATATGTAAGTCAAGTCTGCATGATCTTAAATGCCAAGGCCCCACATTTCTACCCTGGGTAAGCCAAGGTCACATGGTCGTAAAGTCAAAGGTCTCATGACTTTGTCTTTGGTAAATCTTGGTCACATGATTATAAATGTCAAGGTCCTACTTAACAGTCCTGTGCAAGTCAAGGTTACATCATTGTAAAGGTCAAATTTTCACCCTGTCCGTTGTAAATCAAGGTCATATGATTTTAAAAGTCAAGGTCATATTCCCTCTGATCAATGTTAATTGGTGTTCCCTGGTGACTGTACATAATGGTTAATGTCAAGGTCAGACTAAATGGCCTTTATTTCATCTACACATGTGTATTTATGACAAAATGGGTTTTGAAACAATAATATTAGAACAGAAATTTATGTAAATAAACAGGTTTAATGAACAACAGTGATTATAGTGTGGTCAACACCTCAAAGTCCAGTACTTTCTGTATTTGTTGTAGATCTGCTGCTTCTGATGACCGTTGGTCTGACCCTTTGGTCATTGTACAGCTATTCACAGATGCCGGGTATGAAGAATGCTTTGGTCAATCAACAATATGAGCTTACATCCCAGTCAGGTGACCAGACACCTTCTGTGCATGAGGAGTCGTATTGGGTGAGTATGTATACATACCTACTGTAGGTACTGTAGACACTTTAGTAAAGGGGCCAGACACAGCCTGCCCACCAGGAGTTGTATAGGGTGAGTATGGATACATACCTACTGTAGGTACTGTAGATGCTTTAGTAAGGGGCCCAGACACTGCCTGACCACCAGGAGTTGTATAGGGTTAGTATGGATACATACCTACTGTAGGTACAGTAGACACTTTAGTAAGGGGCACAGACACTGCCTGACCACCAGGAGTTGTATAGAGTGAGTATGAATACATACCTACTGTAGGTACTGTAGACACTTAAGTAAGGTGGCCAGACACTGCCTGCCCACCAGGAGTTGTATAGGGTGAGTATGAATATATACCTACTGTATGTACTGTAGACATTTAAGTAAGGGGCCAGACACTGCCTGCCCACCAAGAGTTGTATAGGGTGAGTATGGAAACACCTACTGTAGGTAGTGTAGACAATTAAGTAAGGGGCCCAGACACTGCCTGCCACCAGGAGTTGTATAGGGTGAGTATGGATACATACCTACTGTAGGTACTGTAGACACTTTAGTAAGTAGCCAATACAGCCTGACCACCAGGGGTGAGTTTTACTAAGCAACTTAAGTTACGATTTTATCATAACCTTATCTTACGTTAAATCTCCGTCTTACTAAACTTCGTATCTTAAGTTACGTGTAAAAACCCATCGTAACTTACGACAGCTTAGGGGCTACCCTAACTTACGATTTTGTCTTAAGTAATGAACTTTCTTAACTCAAATGGATTTATTTAACGCTACAGGTTTCTTTGACGGGTGGCTTGTGAACGACATCAAAGATCTCACTTCATCCCAGCCCATATGTTGTTGGATGATTTCTTCACTTTTCTAAAGTACTGTATTTAAACAGACACAATTGCATTTTAATTTTGTCTTCTTTTTTTTAAACGAAAATTGTTGCCATAATCCTTAGCTCCTGCTACAACAATTAATAATACTAGAGATAAAAAAGGTAAATGTATCGAGGCGTAAAAAGAAAAGGAAATGTAGATACAGTTCTCCGTGTTTGTTTTTAGGGGTCTTTAAACTGATATTGATAATCATCATATGAGAATATGTTCAAACCAATCATATAAAAATAGTAATTGATTCACTGAAACCATAATACAATTACAAGTTTACAATTTTTAAAAGATAAGGTTAGTGCAGGCAAATTCGGCAAGCACCCAAATCGCCACCCGGTGACGAAATTGTGTCATATCACGTCATATTTACAGAAGATGTGACGAAAATAATGTCACTGGAATCATCAGCACAGGCACAGCTTTTAAACATTATGACAAGAAGCGGTATAAGAAGAAAAAACAATATTATTAATTTAAACAGTTATAAAATCGCTTGTAACATGACGACGATCTAAAACATTTGGTCTGTGCGCTGGACATCTCGTCAACTAATACGATCAATCTTACATGTACAAATTGTGGTAACATACTCTACACAGAGGAGAGGAAACAAGGGATACTTTTTTGTTGAAATGAATAAATAAATGGATAAATAAATAAATAAAAGGACATACTGTAGCAGTTCAGTAAAGAAAGACCATAATGATGTTAAGGTTCAAGTAACATCTTCTGCACAGCAGGCACAATAACATGTTTCTTTTTTTAATAATCTGAATATATTTATGACGGTTGATATTACAACTGTGTAAGTATTTAGGAGTTATATGGTACACAGACCATACGTGAGAAGGATGGTAAATCGGTACACATTTTTGATAAATAACTTTGCGATCGCCTTTTGTCCGTCGTCGTCCGTCGTCCGTCCGTAAACAATTTACATTTTCGACTTCTTCTCCAAAACCCCTGAACCAATTTCAATGAAATTTTGCAGGGACCTTCCATGGACAAAGGTCAACAAAAATAGTTGCCGGTTTAGTCCTA